ACAGGTAAACAGTACAACATGGTTGAGAGTATAATGGCATGAAGATATATATTTGAAACAGAAGATGTCAGATTGGATTTGATTTTTGAATAAACGTATAATTTCTGTTTCAACTTAGTGGTTAAGACTTGTACATGATCACTGTATTGATTATTATTGATATTAATATTGAGCCCATGTGTCTCGAGATTGCTCTGGTTAGTTTTCTGGCTTCCTTGTGTGGGCGATGCTGGTTCTACTCATAATACACCACTCCGGGTCCATACATGTTTTTAACACTCATTTCATTTCCTGGAAKTTGAGGTTATTCACTGGTGCTTTGCCTCAGCTTAAACCTGCCTGCCTGCTCTTTTTCCCACTCTCCACGCTTGTCTCCCTTCATGTTCCCCTGTTCCTGGATCTGCCTCGCCACCACTCACTGATACTTCCCTCTCTTGGACCACAGAATCCCTGCCTACTTCTCAGAACCTGTAAAGCAAAGAGATTGCCGTAGGCTTAAGATGCCAGTAAATATTCACTTTACCTCTAAATCCCATCTCTTTTCTTCGCCCACAGACAACTTGCCTTATTTTAAAAAATACATTATTCTTAAATAGTGTATTAAATTATTCATTCGTGTGTGAAGTTCTTGGTGGAAGCAATAACGAACCCTGAGAAGCTTTACTGTACCAATTATGACATTTTTCAAACAGATAATACTTGATATCTGCAGGCAAGATAATGATTATTAGCAACATTTCTATAAAGTGTCCAATAAAAATATYCAAACTATCCCTTTAACTAAAACACACAGTAAGTGTTAAACTTTAACTACAAGGTGGCATTTAAATTACTTAAAACTCTCTTCACAAAACTGCTGTGTCAAGCTGTCCTGTTTGCCCCAGTCCTGGTTTAATCTGTGTTGTCGCTCATCTTCTTTTCAAGCCCTCAGCAGCACAGATCGGTGATCATCACTTTAAAAAAATAGTTTTTTTTTTGCTTCCTCTTCAGTGATGACGCCAGTTGGTGCCTGTTTTTCTTCTTCTGGGCAAGTGACTTATTTTTGTCGCCTAAATTAATGCTGTTATGATTCACCAGATGTTCTCAAGATACRACGTGCCTTAAAAAAACTGCAGTTTTCTGTACTTACAGTATTTATTTTGTGATCTTGTTATCGAGTTAAAAAACAACYATGTAATTGAATACTCGAGCACAAGGAATATGGAACTTTTTGTTCATTGTGACAATTTATTCATACGACAGTGCGACGGTTTAGTACAGATGCTTCACAGCAAGAAGGTTCTGGGTTCAAAGCCTGGTTTGGGCCTGGGGTCTTTTTGTGTGGAGTTCGCATGTTCTCCTCATGTTTGCGTGGGTTTTCCTCCCACAGTCCAACATGCATGTGTAATCTGCCTTTAGGTTCAGGTCTCCCTTGAAAAAAGATCTGTGATGTCAATGGGATTTGCCTTGTTAAATGTACATGATGTTGTGCATAGGACGTGTAAAGATTCATACAGTGTTGTATCCCGAAAATGATAAATGAAGGAAAATGACTCATTTAAATTTCATTTAAAACTCACAAACCCAAAGCATTCACATCCATATTTAAGTAATTACTTTTTTATTATAATTTTACCTCAATTCTATTTGCTCTTCTACAAGCCAGGAGGAGGAGCAAAGATTTGGTTGATGTACAAGTGGAAAGTTTAAAATTCATCAAGTTGACACAAATGAGAAGTTTTTACTATCTCAGGTAAAGTTGGCATAAAAAATGCAGAAAAAAAAACAAACAAAATCGCATTGGAAGAAATAGTTGCTTGGAGTGCATGATAGTGATTTGAACAGTGATTTAAAACACAGGCAATACTTAAAAACAAAAATTGCAAACAAAGCTGGTCCCAAGACTGAACCTTGGGGCACTCCTTTTGCAACACCCASAAAGGAAGAGGTGGATCTTGCCACAAAAATACATTCTGTGCTGCTGCTTAAATTGTTTACAAAACAGAAAACTGCYTTTCAATAAACCAGTGTGATGTAAGTTTTTGTATTAGCAGGATACGATTGGCTATGTCATATAATGTGATAATAATCTTTACCATCCAGAGCCTGTATAAAGTAATTTAAAACCATAAGAGCAATTGTAAAAGTACTGTAGTTTTCTTAATCCTGGCTGAAATGAAGATTGTTTGATTCTAAAAATTCATTTAGTCGATCATTTTGAAAAATTCAATTAAAATACACAATTTACAAACTGGTTTGTAGTCTAATTTGTGGTTTCACTCCCTTTAACTGAGAGGTAACATCAAGAAGGTTTCAATTTTATCAGGCTTGCTGCRTTTACTCATGCATTTTAGAGCAATCTCAGTGGCAGACAGAAGAAATTCAAAAAAGCAGGTGAGAGGTCCACTCACAGGGTGCATTTCCACCAGCCAAGTCAACATTTATCAGTTCAGGTTATAACAGTTTCAGCCAATGAATCAGTGGAAATAAAATGATCATTAAAATAGTTGAGCACAGACAGGGCACCAGTGTTTGTAGATAGAGAGCTGAGCAATTTGTCATTATGATTGAAAAAGCATATTTTAAAGTCAATTTAATTTTTGACAATTCAGCCAAATTATTACATTTAGCCCTCTTTATAACGGGAGGTACATTTATTCCAAAGCTGACAAAAGCTGAGTAAATCTGCCTCAGCATCAGATTCCCTGGACCAAGCAGTGCTTGAGATTCATTTTC